ATCGTATCGCCTAATGATATGTCTTTTGGCGAACCTGAGGTTTGCTTCGCGTGCTGAAGTGCTTATTTGCTTAACATTTATCTCGGCAAAAATATTTAGTGCCTCGAACTTTACCAGTGTTAAGCCACAGTGATGTTGTTGCTCCCTTCCATTCACCTTTCTTATCACTTGATGAAATTTGACTGAAAAACATTCTCATCTAGCGCTGTTACGATAGTAATTCAATCTGATGATCTGATTAATGCCATTTTACTGCCAGGTCAAGTCAAGATTCCGATTACAGTCAGGCTAAGACGTCGAAGTTAACCTTAGAAAAGGCGTTTTTTTAAATTACTTGGCCGTTTTTTGAACAATTTTTATTTCAAAGTTCCATTATTCTTGGCTCTCGCGAAGAATCTAAAATTCAGAGTTTTGTTGTAAGTGAATTATAGAAATTTGCGCTCTTTGTGATTACAGGAACCACGTCTGTTGATCGTTTCTGATCCACGCGTTGATCATCAAGCAGTTACGGAAGCGTCCTATGTTGGTGTGCCAGTTATCAGCTTCTGCAACACGGATTCGCCACTGAAATTCGTTGACATCGCTATACCATGCAACAACAAGGTCAGAACCTTTCAGTCTAATGAGTTTTACAAGAAGTGCTATACACTCGAAGTCCATTTTCTGCCCAACACAGTGTACCAAAGAACCGCTTGAACGTTTCTGCGGACTTACCTGATTATAGCAAGTCCAGTTCAGGAAGAATAGAAACTATGCCAGCTGGGAGATGTGGAAAAAGCGCTGAGATAGAAATTGTTTGGAATGGAAAAGCAGGTGTTATCTGTGTGAAATTTTCAGGGTGCGCAGGCAATAGGCCTGATGTGGTGGTTGCTTGCACGCGAGGTTCTGCTGATTAAGGGCAAAATGACGCGACAGACCGGCTTTGTGCTCGACGACAAGGAAATAATGCCCGATCTGTATTTCTACCGTGACCCAGAAGAGCAGGAGAAGGAGGAATTGGCTGAGCCTCGTGAAGTGAAAGAGCCATGGCCTGGAGTTGCGGTGCCGGAAGTCCCGAGAGTTGAAGAGGTTGTAAGATCCGTTGGAATGGTATAATTTTGCTTGGTTAATTTGTTTCGGTTCATTGCGAAGTTTATCATCCGGTTAATACTTGCTGCTGAAACCTCTTTCCTTCTTCCCTTTGCTTAAAATCTTTCATGCACTTTCCTTTTTTTGACAGTTGTCGGAAAAAATTTGTGCATGTCTTTTTTTTTTCTGGACATATGCATATAACAGATATTCCTTACGAAACCGGAGATAATTCATACGCATGCTTGTGTGGAGGGGCTTAAATAATTTGCAGACAGTTTGAAGAGAGCCGTAACCGAACCGGTTAGACTGTGCCGGGCGCGCAATTTCTTTTTTAGGTGGCAAAAGATGCATGATTGGAATGAGTTTCCACGGTGCTTTGCTTATCAGTTGCATTTAATCTC